ACATGCTATTAAGCAGAAAGAGACGGTTGATATCCACAGCTATCGGATATTTACATTTGAAAATATATAAGTCTGTGTTTATGCGTATCAATTATTGTAAGAGTGACTTATTGTTCCATTTTGCTCAAAGTGTTAGGAAAATAAAATATTTACATCGTTCGGCTGTTATCCTCATCTTTATTGCGATATTCACGACGTTTCGGCCGTTGTACGTTCAGTTCTTTTTCAGGTGATATACGATGCAAATTCGAAGCGAACTCGTTCTTTATTCCATGGAGTAGATTGTTCTAATTCCACGTGTTCGGATTAAAATTCCAACGTGTATCAACTGAAGAATGTCGGAGTGTATAACGACCGAAACGTTGTGAATATGATAAAGAAAAGGACAATAATTACAACACCAACTTATCTCAAAATTTTAAACAAATGTAGAAAATAATTTACAACAACCGAAAATCAAACAAAACAAAAAGCAGTAAAAAGAAAAACAAAAGCAAAAACCCCCAACCACCCAAAAAACAAACTCCCAAAAGACCAAAACCAAAAAAAAAAAAAAAAAAAAAAAAAAAAAAACCAAAAAAAAAAAAAAAAACAAAAAAAAAAAAAAAAAAACAAAAAAAAAAACAAAAAAAAAAACAAAAAAAACAAAAAAAAGCCAAAAAAAAAAAAAAAACCAAAAAAAACAAAACAAAAAAAAAACACAACCCAAAAAAAAAAAAACAAAAACAAAAAAACAAAACAAAACAAAACAAAAAAAAACAAAACAAACAAAACAAACCAAAAACCAAACCAAAAAACCAAAAAAAAAAAAAAAAAAAAAAAAAAAAAAAAACAAAAAAAAAAAAAAAAAAAAAAAAAAAAACAAAAACAAAAAAAAAAAAAAAAAAAAAAAAAAACACGAAACCACAAACAAAAACTAAAAAAAAAAAGAAAAAAAAAAAAAAAAAAAAAAAAAATAAAAACCAAAAAAAAGCAAAAAAAAAAAAAAAAAAGAAAACAAAAAAAAACAAAAAACAAAAAAAAAAAACAAAAAAACAAAACAAAAGTAAAAGCAAAAAATAAACAAAAAACCACAAAGACAACGAAAGAAACCCACAAAGACAAAAACAAAAGCGAAAAAGAAAACAAAAACCGCCAAAAACCAGAATGTTGGGAATATATAGTATTTGGGAAATACGATATATTTGATAGGATTAGTTGACGGTCACGGATCAAAAAAATAAGTAAATGAATGAAAATAGAAAAACCATTAAATTTTCACGGCTATTGCAGCTACTTTTACTAATAACAGTAACAGTCAGTCATGTGTCATGCGTGATACACGCTTAGGCGATCATGTATCTTTCGATACATGGCTGATTTTTTCCTGCAGTGGGTTGCCATTTCTTTCTGCGGTAGACCAGTTGCCATCCAAGGCTATAGAACCTTGTCATGCTATTTACCCATAGCTGGGGGAAGAAGAAGGAGATTCATACCTTTCCCAAGGTTATTAGCACGTAAGTGAATGTAATGGATCCGACTGGAATTCGAACTCGGCTTCTATCCATTACTCCATCCTACATTAACAATAAAGGTAGTACTACTACTACTAATAATAATAATACTAGAGGGATATGGCACTCCGTATTTACCTTTCATTTATGATCTGTGAATTGCCATGTCAGCTTTGGAAGTGGCGTGTTTTTCTTTTCGCTATCTTTTTTAGAGTTTGAATTCCGTGATAACGTTTACTTAGACTGGCTACCACTCAAGGCTAGAGACCCCAGTGTACCCTAATATTTAACACAGAGAAAATATGTCTTTCCAAATTGGACAACAGACAAGGCTGAAACTGAAAATTGTCTCGTCTTTTCCACACGGACTTCATCGGAAAGCTGTAACAACCGACACCTTAACATTATGCTGTGTCCTCCAAAATAACAAGTATTTATCAATCTCAAATGAAAGTGACTGAGCACTAGAGGAATTCTGTGTGTCAGTTGGTGCCGAGGTGTGAAGACACGCTCGGTCCCTCCGTGGGCGTGTTTATTTTCTTAGAAGTAGGCTCGTATAAAAAAAAAAAATCTCAAGAGTGAATGTGCCGTTTGTGAGCGTGTGTTGGCACGCGAGGGAGTGTGTGAATATGATTTAATCGCTAGACTCTCAAGGGACCCGTAAAAATGGCTTCTGCATTTAGACTCCGTTGTTGCGAAAAACGTGTTGAAGTGAAACGCTGTCAAAATAATTAATAACAATAATAATTAATATTTCTGATCTTCGACATTAGAATATTCATTTACTTTTTTCGTTTTGTTTTTAATAATGAAAAATTCAATCATCAGGTCACAACATGGTAAAGGACTATTTTTCGTTGTTTAAGATGTTTTGTTTTTAATTTTCTCATACCGAATATTATAAACAATGACTATTATCAATATTTTCTCAGCTTTTTTTAAAATAATAATAAATAAATAAATAAATAAATAATAAATAAATAAATAAATAATAATAATACTAATCGAAAGCAAATAGGAACGGCCGATCTGACATTTGTCCACACAAATATTCTGTTGTTTGATATGACAATGTAAATGCTACCTTATTAGGCACACATGACATTACCCCTGAAATATCAAGAGAGCACAATGACCTTATACCAAAATTTCCTGAATCCTTTCACTTAAATACGGTAGACATTTAAAAGACTTTAAGTGACAGAGATGTGTTTCGACTGACTAATGTTTAAAATACCATGGACCGTTTAGGCAAGAACGATAGAATTTTAAAGTGGAGAGGCACTACAAAAATTGCTAACAGTCAGAAAGAAACTTAATGAAGGAAAGGTTAAAAAAAATTAACACTTACAAATCACGTCAAAGTTTAGACAATGGACTTGTTTGATTTGTTCCGCCATCAATTTGCTCAATTATTTAGATGATTTAAACTGACTATTGTTCTTTGTTTTTTAATCACTTCACTCCAAATAGGGCGATAATGCTAAAACGCAAGGGTTAACTGAGAATAAAAGATTATCCTATATCCACTCTGCCATGTTAGATAAAGGCGTTGGTTAAATCCAGTGACAGGACCCAAAGAGTGAGTTCAATACCCGGTTAAGGCAGTGGAGAACTTTCAGAGGGAAATTAACAGGAAATAACTGATAAAGGACATCCATCAAACATGGCACGTATTTGTTCTTTACGTCTTATACAACTTTTGCAGGTTATTTAAAGCCAGTGAATATTTTTAGATATTTTTATTGAGATAATAATGATTTACAGATTTTACAAGTTTTACTACTTAAACCATAATTAAAGTGAGAGGAGGTGGATTCAGACCTTTCCCCAATGGTATTTGCGCCTAAGTGACTATAACAAAACCGACAGGAATTGGAACTCGGTTCTCCAATTTCCAATTCTGAGCTGTTATTCATTACACCAACCGCACATCCATGCTTATAGTCGCTGGTATTCCCAAGCAGTCACCCATCTATATGATGAGACAAAGTACAAAAGCTAATAAACGATGCGTTTTTCATCGATATCTGTTGGGCTCGGTTTCTTTAGGCAAAAATGCGTTGGGTTTCTGAGGATAAGAGGTGCAATCAACAAATAAGTATTTTCTTGTTATTGAATCTAATGAGGTAAATTAATTTATAGTACCTCTTATCTTCAAAAAACCCAGCATCGTTTCTTTGGTTTTTGTCTTTGATTCCAACCTGAAAAAGCGGAAAACCAACAGATGTTGACAAAACGTATCATTTAATACTATTATATATCGTCCACACACAATATATTTCTTATTTAACAGTTAAAATATTTAATCCTTGAAAATGGCTAAATGTATAGCCGAAAGCGCTTGGATAAAAAGAACATTCGGACAGTTTTTTTTATAATTTATCATCTGAAAAGAAAAAGTACATTATTAGATCTGATGAAAAATTGTATAAAAAACTAAATAAAAGCACCTTGTCTGTCGTATTCAATGAAATGTGCCTGAAGGAATGATTGCTGTACACACACACATTATATATATATATATATATATATAGTCCCTTAATTTGCTCATCCCTGAACAGCTGCAATTCTCACTCAGTCCACAACTCTTGTAAAAGGTTGGCGCATGCAAATGAATAACAAACATCACAAATATATGTTAGCAAGGAATGGACGGGCCGAGAGGAGATAAGTGAATTTAGGCCTGCCATATGAAAAAAAAGCACAAATATAAACGTTACTTTGTCACTGTTAAGCAGTAAGTAACTAGTTAGCCTCGGAGACTTCACGATGTCATGCTGATCCATATTGGGATGCGCTAAACTCATTCGTGTATATATTTTATATATATATATATATATATATATATATATATATATATATATATAGAGAGAGAGAGAGAGAGAAACGTTCGAGAAAACATGGAAAATTCAACTTAAATACCGTGAAAATATCTTATTTTAAACGTACTGACATTTTCAATAAATTTCTTCATTAAACATATGATTTATCGATTCGACAATAATGATTTTCCAAGCGTAGCTTAGATGTGCCACATGGCCGAAATTATGGGGCATTCAATAGGGATCGAACTCCCGACTCAGTCATAATTGTTCTAGCGAGACAAGCTTTCTAACCATTACATCGCCTCAAGGTGCTCTATCGATTCGACAATATCGATATAATGAAACTTAATATATTTATCGGTCACGCAACCTCATGTCCCTTTCTAAGATATGGAATATTCCATTGCTGTGTTAGCAGGAGACATTATTCAACATCAACAAACATACATGCCTCGTGTTGCC